GGACGAGTGAGTCCCGTAACAGGTCGGTTCCCATGTCTACTTATGTAGACAATAATGTCGAAAAAAAAAGGAGAGAGTGGGATGGTCATTTGTAGCCTAGTAGCTACCGTTAACAAGCCAGTTTTGGATATGACTGATTAATTACATCGTAAATTGTGAGAGAAACACTCCGAAAGGAGATAGTTTCAGCAAACCACTGGATTCTTCTACATATGTTGGGAGCTTGGTGGAGCTTCTGTGATCACGACATTTAGATCATCAGATTGAGATTACCAGCAAAGGAAAGGGAGACAGGAATCGCCTTTCACGCTTTATTATAAGTTATCAACCAACTCTACCTAAACTCTGAATCGTGGCACCTGGAAGTAGATCGTGGAATATGTCACAATCGAGTCCAACGCTTTAACCTGTTGGTTATGGCCCGGTGTCGACACCTGCCTGTTTCGTTGCAACTTGCAGTTCAATGCAGGGTCCTCGCACACTGTCAAATAGTAAGCAGGGGTAGATTACCCACAAATAATAAGGGGTCTGGAAGGGCCATTTCTGGCTTATAAGCCCTCTTCAGCCAGCCATAATCACATATTAGAAGATTTAGCATTCTGATGACATAGGTCATAGCTGAAACCCAAAAATCAGGATTCTGACGATATTCAGACACTGCTTGACATAAATGCGAACCACCTCAATGGGTGCCTCTGGGTTACCCAAATACCTTCTGGTAGACACTCCAGTTTTAATTATGGCTTTCTAAATTTATTCAAAGATAAATACGCTAACTGGAAAGAAATTTGTCGGATTGAAGCTTGATAGACTCAGCTGGTATGAATATGTGCCCGTCTAAAGAAAATTACGCGAATGATGGATTTTAGTTCGAACGGGGACTATACAACATCACTCCCATGAGTAATGGTAGCAGAGTAGTTTTAGGAATATCAGAAATTTGAATTGTGTATAAGTAGCCTAATCATGTTCTTATTGGAGTTTACAGCTGTAAAACGATGTCTATAGCTTATATTTTATAACATAATAATATATGAGTATGGTAAGTGCGAGCTCTTTGTGAAGGCTGAGAATAATTACAATTTTAATCTTTATTCTGTGTTTATTCCCAGTGTCTGAGCACTTAAATTTCTGTGACATTTGTCTGCATTAAACTGCCTTTGAAATTCATTTACAATTCATAGGAACGTCCAAAGTTCTGGCTGAATCATACAGCAACTACAATGCCTTTTGGACGGAAACCCCCTGCGGCTAACTGTACTTCCTCTTATGAAGTGTTGGTTCGTCGGGACAAGCAGACTAGGCATTGTTAACGCTTGTCGCTCATGCTTTTGGCCACGCCCAATATGTGTGTAATCGCGTCTGAATCTTGGAACACTTGCAGGGTGGTGGAGCAAGGAGCTTCCGTCCTAGCCAATTGCTCTCATACAAAATGGGATCTTAGAAGGTTGACGCCCAAGAAATTTTTAAAGTTAGAAAATAAACTGGAATTTGCAAGCAGTCAACGAGGGCTGCATCACAAAACATTCGTTTTTTTTCTCAGACTTCCATATTCATAAGAAGCCTGCAAATACCACAGTCGCATGAGATTAATCTAACATCCCTAAAGGGACACCCATACTGGAAGGGACACCTTAAGCAATGCTTGATCACGTTGGGTTGACTTGCAGTACCCTACGCCCTTTGCCTTCGGTAACAGACCTACTCCGCATCTTGCCCAATCTTACCGCTGCACTCATGTGCCGATTTGTCATGAGTGCAAAGTAAAAGCGGAGGAAAGGTGACTATAACTCACTTGCCTCCACTGGTTGGGTCTACTCGAGTCCCATCGCGGTCTCCGAGTTTCGCAAAAGTGGATCAATCGAATAATTCCAATCTCCCAAAACAAATGTTAATTTATCGAGACTGGGGGATTCTAGGCAGATTGTTTGGGACATCCTTCTTGGGCAGTCAGCGTACTGCATCAGATTTGATGGATTATATACGCTGCAGTAGGTAGAATGAGTAAATCGATCAAAGGGTAATTAAAGTCACGGCTTTTGGTGGGTCCTCCTAGCCTAGAGCGTTTGCTGTCTAAAAGCCTTCTCCTATTCTGGCGTGTGTTCCAATTCCACTGAGGTTGCGGATCTTTTTTCTAATTGGTTCAAATTAATTACTGAAATCTGCTAAAACTTTCGCTAAAGAACCGAAATAA